CCCCAAAACCCCAAAACCCCTCAAATCCAAAATCGAAAGTTTTAATCTGATTTCCAAATATTAGAAATTAATTCGAAGTAAATATTATTATAGTGATTGTTTATAAATATAATTCGGTAAATAGTATTTAAATGTACACAGGACAATAGCATAGTCAGTCTAAGAGAAAGAGACTAATTAACACAAGACCAAAGAAGTCTAACTGCTAACTCCTTCTATCAAGATTTAAGGGTGTAGACCAGTTTGGAACAAAAGTTTAGCTTACTTTTTAAGGCAAAGAATCGTACAAAACTTCATTTGGTGCTTTCGTCTCTTTGATCCTAATCATTACTCTAATGAGTTACGGTATTTACAAAGGGTAACTCTTGTTCAACAAATATAACCCAAATATTTCAAAAGTATCATTAATAAGAGATATGGGTGATGGGCTCGAGTTCTAGCCTGCTCATACTGGGTTTGATTTCGCTATAGGGCTGTAAAAAGAATTGGATCCTTCTTATGGTCACATTACTATCAATGACATAATATAAATTGAATCTGAATAGAATGGGACATCTAAAAGTAGAAATCGAACAAAAGTTTATAATCCAATGGAATATGAAAAATGTGGAACTAGTAAATACAATTATACATAAGCAGAGGTAATAAATAAAGGAATAAATAATTATTACTGTCTAAATAATGATGATTTCAAGCTCTAAGGTAATTTTTACTAGAAGAAGTTTAGATACTTAGAAATAAAGCTTTGGAAATGCTAAAACTCTACAAATTCAACTATTTAGTGCTAAGATTAGAATGTGATAGATGACTATTTCAATGATGAAGTGTTTAGTTTAGCTATTGTAAATACATACTTTGATTTTTTTGATTTTAAAGACAATTATCCAATTAAGAAATTTATTGATGATTCCTTTTTTGTTGAAGTTGAAGCTAGTAAAATTAAAAAAGCTAATATATATATCCAGCTTTAAGATGCTTAGCTTCAGGATAATTACCTATAATTAGGTTAAACAGATTAGATTTAGTTCCATTAAATTTCAAATAATAGGGAGTATGATAAGATGTATGTTGACAGCGATGGCTACATGATTGCATTATTTTTAAGATTAGATGATTAATATGATTTGTATAACAGAAAAATTTATTCATTTTTAGAGTTACTAGGAGATATTGGTGGATTGTATAGATCTCTGTAAGGTATTGGGTTATTCATAGTTGGTAAGATAGCTGGTATACTGTTCTTAAGTGATGTTATGAATAAAATTTATCAAGTTAGAAAAAATTTTGAAAGTGATAATGATAAAGACAAAAAATAACAGAATGGGAATAAAGTACAAGATAATTCAGAATAGTCCACCTAGAGGCAGTAAAATCCTTCAGATCCTAATAATAGCCTATTAATAGAGAACCAGACTCGGAATCCAAATTACCTCTCTCATTCTATATCATTACCTAATAACTCAGAGAATAATAAAACAATTGATACTAGATAAGTTGATTAGAGTAGTAGTTTTACCTAGGTGCCTGAATCAAACAATATGACGAAATAAGGAAGAATTATAATTAAAACTTTAGAACGATACCTAAGCAACTTGTTCAAAGGCAAGAGATTCATTAATGATTAGGATGTTTAAAACATACTCTAAGCCTTTATAAGTAGAGTAAGATTCTCATACTCTCCATTAAAGATAATAGTGAATATTCTAAGATGCGCAAGACCCTTATCTCATAGATAGTTAAAGGACTCAACCATATATAAATCACATCATTTATTCTTGAGAGGAAAAGAGAAGTTAGAGAGGGATTTAGATGTAATTTAGTTAGTGAGAACTCTCAGAAAATTTAAGTTACTCTGTCAAGCTTAGCTGGATTAGTAGCATAGAATGCTTTTGAGATTTTAAAAGTAAAATTTGATTGAAACTAGTTCTGAATCTTCAGATTCCGATGATAATCATCTTGAACCAGTAGGATTGCTAGAATCTACAATTCCGATTATTAAATTAGTAGCACTTGGCAAACTTAAGAGGATGGTAAAATCTTTCGAAGGCATGAAACTTGATCATACTGAGTCTAATCTGATAAGAGGAGTTTTCAAGAGAAAGCTAAAAGATTTTGAGGAAGATTTCTAATAAGAGAATGGGAAATTGACTTTGATGCAAAGACTGAATAAAAATGGAGGTATTAGACGATACTCTAATTACGGATCAAATAATCATGATGAGAGTGTAGCTTTAAATAGGGATGAGGAAAACGATTCTAGGATCGCAGCTGCTTCTTAGAATAACCTTGATTAGATATATTTGCATTCAGAGTGATTATACAAATTTGCATAGGAATTAAAAGGGAATGCTTATAAACTATGCAAAAAGAGATATTATAGCTTTTGATAAGAATTTAGAAGATTTATTTTTCAAATTTATAACCAGAAATTCTCCTCATGGGGTTTTGGGGTTTTGGGG